CCCAGACCCGGTGGCTTAAAACTCTCGCCGGGCGCGTGTGCATGCCCAAGATCCTGAGAGAAGAATGGAGGAGAAGGGATTGTGGGTGGTCATCCCTCCTGGGAGGTGATTTCTCGCTTTCTGTCTCTCTGTGTCTCTTTCTGGCAACCTATAGGAAAAACCTCTCAAAAAAAAGAAAAATACAAAGACATTATTCTCTTGTAAAATAATCATACTACGCCTCTGCAAGTAGTTGAGAAGAAGTTTCCAGCAAGGTTTCTTCAGAACAGTCACATAGACTTGAACAGAAACAAAGTTCAGCAATGAGTACCACCTAGTGGCCATTCAGAGTGTAACAAGCAGCCAGCCTATGTGACAGGCAAAGATCAGCTCACTGACCTACCCACAGCCTGGCTCGCAGCCGGTCGAAGTGGAAGTGTGATTTCCAGTGTGAGCCCATTTTCCAGATCCAAGACAGTAGAGTCTGAATCCTACCCCAGATACCATGACAGTTCATCACGGATTTGAGCCAGAGGGCAGTAAAACCATGTCCTGGACGCAGGAGTGGAATGGAGAGGATGCTTCCTTCTTTGCTTAGTCTCTCCCTCCCCGGGGCAGTCTGAAGTTAGTGCCCAGGCCAGGGTCACTTGTCAGCTTGCTTTCCTCTCAGGCTGCAAATGAGCTCCAATGCACCCCCAGGCTTTGCCTGTCTAGATAGGGTGGTGGGAGAAAACATGGCCCAGGATCTGAAAAGGAAAAATTCTCAGGAATAGCTCTCAAGAAGTTGGCAAGTCATACTTTTCATTTTTTGAGGTACATACAGACTTACAGAAGAGTTTCAAGATGATACGAAGAACTTCTGTATGCATCTCACTTGGAGTTCCCAGATGTGGACCTTTTGTCATGTTCGTGTTGCCTTTACCACACACACCCCCACGCACACACACACACACACACAGTACTTTAGAGAGTATTGCAGACATAATGTCAGGCTTTTCCTAAACACCTTCATATGAACTTCTTAAAACAAGAATACTTTTCTTTCTGGGACCAGCAGGTGGCGTGGTGGTTAAAGCACTGGACACTCCCACATGGCAGACCTTGGTTTGAGTTTCGGGCCTAGTGTCTTGCTTTCACATTCTCTCTCTCTCTCTCTCTCTCTCTGTGGCTCTCTCTGGCCAAATCAAAATAAATGAGTGAATCAATAAAATTAAATAATTTAAAAAAAACCAAGAATACTCTCTTATTGAAGTCAGGAAATTACTATTCATCCAGTAGCATCTGGTGAACAGACCTTATTACAATTTCACTAATTATTGTACTAATTGTCTTTATAGCAAATGAAAAAAATTATAACCAAGGATCCATTCCGGGATCACATAGTATGTTTAGTTTTCTTTCTTTCTTTCTTTTTTAGAGGTTTTTGCCTTATTGTATGTGTGCTTCCTGGAGAGAGAAACAGAGACAATGAGAGGGAAGGTAAGAAACCATCCCCCAGGGGAGATGGCCAAGCTGCAATCCCTTCTCCTCCATTCTCTTGGAATCTTGGGCACGCACGCACACGTGGCCGCTGTGAATTTCAAGGACTTGAACCCTGGTCAACTGTGTGGAACTCCAGTGACGCCGTAACTGCTACACCATATGCTGGCCCCTCCCTTTTCTGTATTTCTTTTTTTAATCTGGACCAATTCTTTATTTTTTCATGGTCTGGCCAAAAATTTTGAGTAACAAAATGAATAGTAGCAAATTATAACCCATAAGAAAAATAAAGGGACTGGCAGGTGGCATGGTGGTTAAGGTGTTGGACACTCCCACACCGTGGCTGACCACGGTTCAAGTCCTGGACCTGGTAGCTTACTTTCGCTCCCTCTTTTTGTCTCTCTCTGGTCAAATTGAAATAAATAAATAATTCATTTAAAAGAAAAAACAAACATAAGAATCTGTGCATTGAAATTGATATACATATGGGACCAGCAGTTGGCATAATGGCTACATCGCCGGACTCCCATTTAATTAACTGGGGTTCGAGTCCCAGACCCGGTGGCTTAAACTCATACCGGGCACGTGTGTGTGCATGCCCAAGATCCAGAGGGGAGAATGGAGGAGAAGGGATTGCGGCATGGCCATCCCCCCTGGGGTGATTTCTCGCTTTCTGTCTCTCTGGTGAGTGCATGTGCCCTACAGCAAAAACCTCTAAAAAAAAAAATGAAATTGATATACATAAATGAATTTAAAAAAAAGGTGGAGGACCAGCCCATGCCCTGGTGTTTACCTGAGCTGGATCTCATATACCCAAATACGCAGATTGAGTCCTGGATCCTGTGGCTTGAAAAACATGTGCATGTGGAAACCAGCAGTTAGCGTAATGGCTATATCGCGGGACTCCCATGTAGTCGACCGCGGTTCGCATCCCGGACCCGGTGGCTTAAACTCACGCCAGGCGCGTGTGCGTGCGTGCCCAAGATCCCGAGAGGAGAATGGAGGAGAAGGGATTGTGGCGTGACCAGCCCCTCTGGGGGGGGGGGATTTCTCGCTTTCTGTCTCTATGTCTCTCTCTGTCTGTCTGGTGAGCGCAAACGCCCTATAGTGAAAATCTCTCCAAAAAAAAAAAAAAACATGTGCATGCATGCCCAAAACTTCGAAAGGAGAGAGAATGGAAGAAGGGATTGTGGTGTGACCATTTTCCTTGAGGGAGGGAAGTGCCTTCTCATTTTCCCTCTCTGTCTCTCTGGCAAATGTATTAGACCCAGCCAAAATTGACCAAAAAAAAAAAATTTTGGAGGGGACCAGCAGATGATATAATGATTACGTCGCTGGACTCCCACGTAGTCGAATGTGGTTCAAGTCCCAGACCCGGCAGCTTAAAACTCACTCTGGGAGACAGATGGCATAATGCTTACGTTGCTGGACTTCCATGTAGTTAATCACAGTTCAAGTCCTGGACCTGGGGGTTTAAAACTCACACCAGGCATATGTGTGTGTGTGATCAAAATCCTGAGAGAAGACTGGGGAAGGGATTGTGGCCATCCCCTCGGGGAGATTTCTTGCTCTCTGTCTCTCTGCCTCTCTCTGTCTCTCTGGCGAGTGCATGTGCCCTATAGCAAAAATCTCTCTTAAAAAAAAAAAAAGAGTTAAAGAGAACATCACTAGCGATGAGACAACTAGACAAACACAGACTTCCCGAGATTAAGTCCTGAGAAGGACACGGCATCGCTTTGATCATGTGCCTCCCCAGAATGCATAACCTTAATTCCATCAAGAGGAAGCACCAGACTAACCTAAATTGAGAGACAGTTTGTAAAATAAGTGGCCTGGGGACCAGCAGTTAGCGTAATGGCTATGTCGCCGGACTCCTATGTAGTCGACCACGGTTTGAGTCCCAGACCCGGGGGCTTAAAACTCACGCCAGGCGCGTGTACGTGCCCAAGATCCTGAGAGGAGAATGGAGGAGAAGGGATTGCAGCATGGCCATCTCCCCTGGGGGATGATTTCTTGCTTTCTGTCTCTCTGTCTCTGTGTCTGTCTGGCAAGTGCACGTGCCCTATAGCAAAAACTTCTCAAAAACAAACAAACAAAAAGTGGCCTGTTCTCTGAGTCCTGCCTTTTAACCAGGAAAGTCAGAGCTAACCTGATGGCCCTGCTTTACGGACATGGGACCAGGCGTTGAGTCCGGGCGGTTGAGAGAGACCCAGTTCCTCAGGGCAAAGGCCAGGTCTGCTTGTTTATTTAAATTTGCTAGAGGGAGTGTGTGCTCACTGGAGAGAGATGGAGAGTGAGGACATGTGAAGTACCCCCAGGACTAATGTCCACGCCACAGTCCCTGCTCCTGCATCTCTTCTCGGGAGTCTGGGCACATGGACGCACACGTCCGATGTGTTTCTCAAGCCGCTGGGTCCAGGACTCAAACCGTGCAGGCGGCCATGTAGGATCCAGCTGCCTTGACCACCATGCCACCTGGCTGGCCCAGGCTCTTTTTTGATCTGGGGATGTGCTGAGTCCCTCTCAGGAGACAACTCTTCCTAACTCTTCAGGAAGCACGAGTCATGCCAGGGCTGGAGTGTCATGCCTCTCTGCAGTCCCAGTCACTGACCGTAGGGGCCAGGAGACCTCATGGACATCTAAAGGTGTGTGACCAGGACTTTGAATTCCCAAGGAAGTTCTCTAGAATTGAGATATCCTCCAACAGGTATAAATATAGGACAGATAAAAGGAAGCACTAACTGAGTCAGCCGGTGGTGTGGTGGTGAAGGCAGCCGATCCGTTATGGCTAACCATGCAGTTTGAGTCTCAGCTCCGGTGGCTTGAGAAACACAAAGGGTGCGTGTGTGTACATGCCCCAAATCCCAAAAGGCAAGAGAAATGGAGAAAGGTTGGAGGCAAGAGTTCTCCATGGCAGGTGCTTTCTCACTCTCCCTCTCTCTCTTTCTCTGGTAAGAGCACACACTCTGGCAAAATTAGGAAAAAATAAATAAACACTCCCCAAGGTAGAAATAGTTGTCTCTGGAGAGTAAGAGCTAGCTCAGAGAGAGAAAAGTGAATTTTCATCATGACAATGTGTAACACTCAGGGGAGGCTGGTCTTTCTGAGGTGAGTAGGGAGGGGACCTTGCAGCCACAGCTTTCCCCAAGCGCAGTCCCTAGTGTGAGGCAGGGCTTCCTTACAGGGCTTCCCTAGCGCATCCCCTGGTGAGAGGCAGGGCCTCCCTAGCATGATCCCTGGTGAGAGGCAGGGCCTCCCTAGCATGTCCCCTGGTGAGAGGCAGGGCTTCCCTAGCGCGTCCCCTGGTGAGAGGCAGGGCCTCCCTAGCATGTCCCCTGGTGAGAGGCACGGCTTTCCCGACCCCATACCTTGGTTTCCTCAACGCTGCCACCCCAGTTTCCCCAGACAGCTGCAGGGGGTAGGTGTGAGGGGTTCCCAGTGAGGTACCACCTCCAGCCCCAGGGCAATGAGCTTTCCAGTCTTCTCTGGAGAATGGGGATGAGAACAGTGAAAAGGACACAGACTTTTGGGCTGTTTTCTAGTGACCTACGGTATGACGAGTCCCAGCGCCTATTACTACACCACGGTGATGTCTGAACTCTTCCTGCACACCCCGTCGGCCGCTGGAGTCTCCTTCCAGACCATCAGCAGCATGGCGGACTTCTGGGACGTGAGTATGAGATCGCCTCTGCCCTGCTCCCTCTCCTCGGTGGCCAGAGTTCAAGGTCAGATCATGGGTCAGAGCGTAAGCCCAGAGACCGGGGAGTTGGAACTGGGTTGAGTCAAGGGGTCAGGCTTTTATGGGTGAGGCTGGAGGGTAGGCAGAGGTAGGTGATGATCAGGGAATGCTGATCAGGGAATCAAAGCAGAGCTAAACTCACACTGGGAGTCAGAGGTAAGGCTGAACTTCAAAATATCTTTTAAATAAAGACTGAGGCCATGTCAGGTCAGGACCCAGTCATGGTTCGTGGGTCATCTGAGGACGCCAACAAAAGCAGACTGGAGACAAGCTGGGGGTCAGGGAGTGAGGGCAAAGGTTCCTCTAAGGGTCGGGGGTCAATACGAAGCTGGGTCAGGTCCAACCCAGCTGGTGGTCCAGTTTGCCCAGGGCCCGCTCCTGGATGGTTTGTACTGGACCACATGGTACAACAACCAGAGCCTGGGCCACGGCTCCCACTCCTTCATCTACTACGAGAACCTGCTGCTGGGGGCCCCGCGGCTGCGGCAGGCGGGGGGGGCG